GGTCATATTTTAAGGCAGAACTTGAATTGTTTATTTCATTTTCCACAAACTCACACTTAGTGAAACTTTTATGAAAAGAAAGATAGTGAATCCTCATTCCTTCATTTAACAAATTTGTTTGGGGCATTTACAGTATGAAAGGTAGTCACCTAATAAAGACAACAACTCTTAACTTCTTTTACTTTTCATTTTGAAATAATTTCAGATTTACAAAAATGAAGTTGCAAACATAGTGCATGTAATTTCCAAATGCATTTTGTTCAGATTCTCCAAATGTTCTTATAAAACCACGGTACAGTTATAAATATCAGCAAATTAACATTGAATAGATATTATCATCTAATCTAAAGACCTTATTCAGATTTCACCAATTGAGCCAATAACAATTTTTTCTGACCAAAGAGCCAATTTATGGTTATATGATGCATTTAATTTTTATGAATGAGTGTCCTTTAATTTGGAACAGTTTTTTCGTTTATTACCGTTATTTACTTTTTGTTTAAATTGTCCCAGTATTGTCAGCTGAGAGCCCCTTCATATTGATTCCTATATTCTTTTATCATGTTGAGCATGTGCTTTAGTTCTGGCACCACAGTGTTCCAGGCACATCCTGTACTTTCCTTGCTAAAGCCCTTAAATAAATCATTTCTCCAAGGGGTCCTGGTTGGAAAACACTGTAGTCAGAATTCAGAACTTTTGAAATTGACTGGCGAAGCTGGAAACATTCAAGTATTGTGGAGGGATTTGTTATCCCATGTACCAACAAAACTTTCAGTATAATTTTTTAAATACCATATTATAAGACTGGGTCTACAAAAATAATAATCATGTAATTAAAAAATCTTAACTTTTGGCATACCAGGGAAAATAGCCATCACATTTGGTTCCAATGGAGCCTTCTTATGGAGTCTCACTCTGTGACCCAGGCTGGAGTGCAGTGGCACGCTCATGGCCACCACAGCCTCGAACTGCTGGGCTCAGGCGATCCTTCCACCTCAGACTTCCAAGTAGCTGGAACTACAGGCATGCACCATCACGCCCAGCTAATTTTTCTTGATTTATTGTTGAGATGAGATCTCACCAAGTTGCCCAGGCTAGTCTTGAACCTGTGGGCTCAGGCAATTCTCTCACCTTGGCCTCCCGAAGTGCTGGAATTATAGGTGTGAGCCACCGCGCCAAGCCTAGCTTTTAGTTTTTAAGTTACTTTATGAATAATTTACAGATGAATAAAAGGATAGTGAAAACAGCAAAAGAAGAATTTCAACATTACAAACGAAAACCAAATTATTATTTAATATTTTGCTGGTTGTAGAGGTATATGTTACCTGAAATGGGCGATGTATTTGAATGCAACTAACTGCATGTCAGCTGTCATATATGAACCTTGACCATAATCATGTCATAAATACTGGCTCCCTATTTTAAACACATCTCTAATAGATTACAATTATACCTTTTCATTATACTTTTTAAGTATTCTTGCATGTGCATTATCACAATGTAATACTATTGGAAAGTTTGAAGGTTCATAATTTTTTAGAAAAGAAGATGACTATCTTTTTGTTTCATAATTACAAAAATATGTTTAGTTTTGTAAATGTCGGCTAGATTAATCAGCTCAATTAACTTTTAAAATTTCTATGTATTATCTGTTCTTCCAATTACTTTCACATGTATAACTACCTTCAGCATTTGTACATTTAGAAATCATATCGGGCAACCACTTTGGGTTGCCTCCCATTATGGGAGCTTTTCTGTCCTCTCAATAAATCCTGCTTTCTTAAAAAAAAAAAAAAAAGAGAAATCATGTCAAGAAAATTTTTACCCACAACTTTATAAAAGAATGGTCATATGTTCTTTTGTTAAAGCAGGATGGTCCAGGTTTGTGTTGCAAAATATTAAATGGTGAAGTCTTTTCTATTGAATGACTAATGGGCTAGAATATCATGCTTCCTTTTTGTTTTTATAAATATAGTGTTTATTCTTTGATTCTTAAGTTTGAAAAAATTTATCTATCTGAAAGACCTATAGCCCAAGATTTTGCTTATAAGGACAGTTTTACCCTCATCAGTACCTCGAGTGCTTCTGTCTCTGCCTTCATCATCTCACTCATCTAATAATTGTGAAATATCTTTCCCTGTTGATTTTATTTTCTATTCCATTATGGGTAGAAAATTAAAAACTCTGAATGCCTAACTGTGTTCAGTGAAAACTAAAAAGAATATGTCAAAGATGGCATCTCCAGACATGTTTTATACTTTCTTGAAAAATAATATATTATTTTGGGCAGATGATTAGAACACTGCAGGATTATGCAATAGTGGTGACTTATTCATTCATTTTTAGGCAATTCCATTATTTTTGTTTCCTTATTTATTGAGTAAATGGATACATTATGTAAAGCGTATTTATGACCTGTATATTATGGACTACAAAATCATATACAATTACAAGGTCATTTTGTTTGTATTCAATAGTTTTTTGAGTCAGAGTCTCACGCTGTCACTCAGGCTGGAGTGCAGTGGCAAGCTCCCGGCCACCCCAGCCTAGACCTGATGGGCTCAGGCTATCCTTCTGCCTCAGCCTTCCAAGTAGCTAGAACCACCGGCATAAGCCACCATGCCCAGCTAATTTTTTTATTTATTGTAGTGATGAGGTCTCACCATGTTGCTCAGGCTGATCTCGAACCCCTGAGCTCAGGCAATCCTTTTGTCTTCATCTTGTATGTAATACTCTTATATTGAGTGCAACACAAATTTGAGTTCTTTTATTTCCCTTTATCTTAAAAGTCTTTAGGAAATGAAAGCTTTGGTTTAATCAGTATCTCCTTCTTCATGGACTCATTGTTTTATCAAATCAAGGGGAAAATGTAGAAGGAACGCTTTGGGACATTTCCTAAAATTTGGTATTTAAAAGTGTGGACTTGTACTTATTAAACCTCATCTCTGATTTTTAAGTAATGGCAGGAAGTAATAAATCAATTTATCATTGTGTTTATACTAAATTGGCTGACTGACTGGATTTCTTTTCTTTTTTCAGTTTTAGTCTCCAGAGGCACACATGCCTGTTCGTTACATGACCATATTGTAGGTGGGGATTGGGTCTCAGGTGACTCATTCCCCAGATAGTGAACATTGTACCCCACAGGTAACTTCTGAACTGCAGTCTCCTTCCCATCCCCCCTCTTATTGGTGTCCCTGGGGTCTACTATTTCCATCTGTGTGACCATTTAGCTCCCACATATGAGTAAGAACATGAAGTGTTTAGTTTTCTGTTTCTGAGTCAGTTCATTTAGGATGAAGATCTCTAGCTTCATCTAAGTTGCAAAGAACATTATTTCATTCTTTTTTATGGCTGCATAGTATTCCATAGTGTATATATACATTTTACTTATCTGGTCAATTGTTGGCGGGCACTTAGTTTAGTTCCATGATTTTGTTATTGTGAGTAGTGCTGCAGTGAACATACATGGCATCTTTTTTAATATATTGATTTGTTTTCTTTTGGGTAGATCACTAATAGTGGGATTGCTGGGTCAAATGGTAGTTCAATTTTTAGTTAAGAAATCTCCATATTGTTTTTCATAGAGGTTGAACTAGTTTACAGTCCCATCAACAATAGATAAGTGTTCCTTTTCTCTTCAACTATGATAATATCTGTTGTTCTTTGACTTTCTAATAATAGCCATACTGACAGGTGCGAGGTGATATCACATTGTGGCTTTAATTTGCATTTCTCTGATGATTGAACATTTTTTCATATGTTTGTTGACCATAATAAGCTCAGAAATTTTTATTGTAGTGTTTTTTATTTTTTAAAGTAAGAGTGTGACTATGTTGCCTGGGCTGGAGTGCCGTGCATGCTCATAGCCACCGCAGCCTCGACCTACTGGACTCAGGTGATCCTTCCGCCACAGCCTTCCAAGTAGCTGGAACCACACGCATGTACCACCATGCCTGGCTAATTTTTTGATTTATTGTCAAAACAAGGTCTCGCCAAGTTGCCCAGGCTGGTTTTGAATCCCTAGACTTAGGCAATCCTCTCGCCTCTACCTCCCAAAGTGCTGGGATTACAGGCATGAGCCACCATGCCTGGTATAAAGCCATATATTTTATAGAGTAAACTATCTCTGTCTGTTCTTTAAGGTTTTGTAGTCCAAAAATATCAGTTTGGGTTTCTCTCTCAATGTCAATAAAAAAATTTTAAATTTGCCTTTTCCCTTATCCTTTGTTACAAATCTTATGAGAAATTGACTTGAATAATTTCTTAAATTATTAATCTCCGAGCCATTTTAATATAATTTCCATTTCGCATATAAGGAAACCATTTCTGTCTTGAGAAATCCCAGAGAGGCCAATTTGGAAGTTACACCCCCCCACCCCCCCTTTTTTTTTTTTTTGCTAAGCCAGTATAGTTTGCTCAGCAAAGAGAAAGAAATCTAACTTGGATTTACACATGTAGCTTGCTTAACTCACTAGTTAGGTTGATCAGAGTCATTGCTTAGTTCAGGATCTGACCATCAATTAGGCGAATGCATATTCTAGCACTGTTCAAATTTCTTGAGGAGTCCTTAGACCTCGACAGAGAAAAAAGGATCTGAGGCTTGATGTCTGTCAGTTTGACCCACTGTTTAGCCCTTATTCACATTGGCCAGAGTTTGGACTGTGATAATTTTTTTTTAAGCTTCAACGTATGGCTTGTATATATGTGAAACTCTCTGTCCTTCCATTCTTATTTGTGTCTTTTACTAGTTGACAGGTTCACTAAAGGTAAGAACTATATTTAGTCTTTGGATGACACTGAAGCAAAACTATTATATAAGAAGTTCCCGAATTGGGAATGTCTGGACTGGATATTGTTTAAGGTCTGTTACAACACTTCAAATTCTATACCAGCAGGCATACAGAACAAGTATTATTAACATAGTACTTCCATAACACTTGGCCAGTAGCTACTTATCACCTGTGTCACAGACCCTATTCTGTTGTCTCCTCCCTTAGATCTTTATTAACAACGAGTGGCAGAACTCAGAGAGCGGGAGAGTGTTCCCTGTCTATAATCCAGCTACTGGAGAGCAGGTGTGTGAAGTTCAAGAAGCAGACAAGGTATGCCTTTCTTAGAAATAGATTCCCTATGAAATAGTTACCTTCACACAGCAGAGCATAAACATATGCTTTCCAGACACCACCACTTACACTCGTGCATCACTTTTCTCGTGAGAGCAGATGATTCTTCCTTTATATGGAGTGTTTATATTTCTTCAGTTGTGCCTCTCCTTTTCCTCTCTTAACAGGCAGATATAGACAAAGCAGTGCAGGCAGCCCGCCTTGCTTTCTCTCTTGGTTCAGTGTGGAGAAGAATGGATGCTTCAGAAAGAGGGCGTCTATTGGATAAACTTGCAGACTTGGTGGAACGAGATAGGGCAGTTCTTGCAGTAAGTAACCTAAGAACTTTCCATTCCACTGAAATTTAGGTTCCTCGATCTTTCCAAAAGTATGCTTTTAAGTAGATCTGGGGAAAAAGCTAAGGAGTGCATAATACCTATGAAAAATGAGAGATGTTTGAATTGGAGATCAGGTGGGCAAATGGAGAATCAACCAAGTGTCTCTCCTTCCTGATTTTTTAGGAGAAAACCATAGCTATCCATGACTGGCAAGAACCTTTTCCCCTTGCATCCAACCCCACCTCACAAACAAAACAAAAACGATCAAGCAACAAAAGGTTGACTATTGCCAATTGGAGAAGACCTATACCAAATGATTCTTCTGAGAATCAAGTAAGACTAGTTTTGACTTCCTCAGGATTAACCTCTCTTGACTAAAGAAATCCTTCAGAAGCAGAGGGCTTAATGTGGATCTCTTACACACTTCTGCTCCATTTTCCTCATCATTTTCTAGAGTCAACAGAAAGGAGAGATAACAGGGGACAGCAACTTTCTTTCATTAAAACAACCACTTTTCTCAAATAAAGAATTTCTCCTTCCATAGTGGGTTTTGTTTTTGTTGTTGTTTTTAAACTACAAGTCAATTTCTTAGAGAATATATACTGTTGGAAACTGGAATCATTTAGAAACGTAAGCACTATACACTAGGAATTCTCCATCTGGGGTCCATTAATATTTAGTGCTTTCTTGTTGAAGCAGGGCATTCAGACCATGAGCACTGTATGGTTCCCTCTACTCAGGAAAATAGGTCACTATTGGGCTTGCTTTGGGAAGGGAAGTTTTAGTTCTTTTCCTCAGTGTCCCTTTTATCATAGCCCTTCCCTTCTACCATCTTCCTCAGGAATCTGTTCATTTAAAAAATTATTCCCGACCGGGTGCAATGGCTCAAGCCTGTAATCCCAGCACTTTGGGAGGCCGAGGTAAGGGGATTGCCTCTCTACAAAAAAAAAAAAAATTAACTGGGCATAGTAGAGCCTCCTGTAGTTTCAGCCACTTGGAAGGCTGAGGCAGAAGGATGACCTGAGCTCTGCAGATCGACGCTGGGGTGGCCGTGAGCATGCCACTGCACTCCAGCCTGGGAGATGGAGTGAGAATCCAACTAAAAAAAAAATTATTCTTTTATGAAGATGGTTTTGGATTCTAGCTGTATATAACATTTATTTGTCTATAAAAAATTTTTCCCAATCTGGTACTTAGGGGATACTCCTCCAACAAGGTTTTTTTGCATATTGTGAAAAAGGTGTTTCATGATGAAGTGTAGCTCCTTTTTGGAGAGTCACATGACACTGAACATATTAAAGGCTCTGAAAAAGCCTACTTGATGCTTCTCAAGCTTATTTGGGATTCAATACTAATTTTCTGGATAATATACCAATATCACGCAAAACTGAAGTTTTTGGAATTCCATAGAGAATGCTGATCTTTATGCTTGTCTCTTCACTGGATTGTGATTTCCTTGAGAATCAAAATTGTATTTTCTTTTTTTGTAACCCTTGCACAGTTTCTGGCACATAAATGGCAAATGAGCTACATAGATGCTCATTAAATATCTGATTGAGTTAAAAATATATAATATCTATAGCATTAGATTGATAGTATGTACTAGAAGATGATTTAGCTTTCATATAATAAAACTTAAATACCTTTCATTTTCTGCCATATGTCTCACTATGACCTAGTCTCTTTTCTTGCCACACCTAAATGAGATTCCTACTTTTAAACACTCCCAAGCTATGGGAGCAGTGAGTCTTAGTAAGAGATAGTCTCTGGAATAAAGGGGAGCTCCTGACCAGAAAGCTGAAGCTAATGCTGCACCCAAAAGTTAGACACAATTGAAAGTAGGCCCAGAGCTGGCAATTCTCAGATGAATTTGACTGGTGTCAACAGCTCAAGGGGACCATTTAAGTGCCCTGATTTCTGGTTATTGACTCTACTTCACTCTAGGCTTTGCTTTGTAGACTTTGGCTCTATGCTAGCTGCATAGAGAATGTAATAACCATCTTCTGAACATATACATAATTCTAAAAAGTCCTAGGAAGGAATTTGATTCTGTTTTATAAAGGTGAGCCAATATATGGTGATAAGTAACATGATGTCTTTAAAATGAGCTTCTATGGTAAGCAGATAAATTGCATTGTAAGTAATAGTATTTTCATCTCATTGGATAGGGAATATTTTAACTTTAGCTTTTAGCAATCACAAAATTTTCACACCAGTAAGAGTTATAAAATGTCCTTATAGAAAAAAGCAAAATTATAAACATATGTTTTTGTTTATTTTATTTGTTGAACTTGTATCACCTTTAATATTTCTCAAGTCAGCCGGGCATGGTGGCTCACACCTATAATCCCAGCACTTTGGGAGGCTGAGGTGAGAGAATTGCCTGAGCCCACGGGTTCAAGACTGACCTGGGCAACTTGGTGAGACCTCACCTCTACAATAAATCAAAAACTTAGCCAGATCTGGTAGTGCATGCCTGTAGTTCCGGTTACTTGGAAGGCTGAAGTAGAAGGATTGCCTGAGCCCAGCAAGTTGAGGCTGTGGTGGCCGGGAGTGTACCACTGCCCTCCAGCCTGGGTGACAGAGTGAGAATCCAAACTCAAAATAATAATAATAATATCTCTCAAGTCAAAATATTATTTTCTCATTTTAATTTATTCATTTTTCTTTGTTTTTGTAACAGACTTAGCCAGTTTAGGGACAAGTCATTAAAATAGTAAATTTTATAATGTAAAGGTATTTAATATTACTGTTTTTGTTAAATGAACCAGAAATTTCACTCTTAATAGATAATGATTGTTAACATAAATGTTTACCAAAAAAACAGCCTTTAAGTTGTTAAAGTCTGGACTTCCCTAGAGGAGATCTTGTTTATTTGGTGGTAATAAATAAACTCTCTGTGCACCGTAGATATTCCATTTCTCAGCAGGGGTCTTGGCAGCTATGGAGAACATTTTGTATTCTCTTCAGTTGCATAAAAAGCCCATGTTTCTGCTCCTCTATGGATTCAGATTCCTGGTGTAGACTCCAAAAAATCCCCAGGGAGCTCTGTTCATTGATATAACAGAAGCTGGTTTGACAAGCACAACATTTCTTTATCATTAGTTAAAGAAATGTTGTGTTTACATATTTGGATAGTGATTGTAGGCACAAGAACATGCACATATATATTCCTTGTAGTTTTTACTAGAAACTAAACCAAACTGACGGCACTAGAAATCTTTTTATTTGGGAAATCATAGGTGACCAGGTATGCAACACCATTCATATTCATTTGTATTCTCTTTCTTGCATTTTTCTTCTCCAGAAATTATTTAGCATCTCACTGGAAAGTTCTAGGGACTTAATGCCGCTTCATTTCTTTTCCTTACAGACCATGGAATCCCTAAATGGTGGCAAACCATTCCTGCAAGCTTTTTATGTGGATTTGCAGGGCGTCATCAAAACCCTTCGGTATTATGCAGGTTGGGCTGATAAAATTCATGGGATGACCATTCCTGTAGGTATGTGAAATCTCATTCCATTGAAAAGGAAAACAGGAAACTTCCCCAGAAACACATTTTCACCGCCAAACACAAACACCACTCACATACAATACAGATATGAGCACACTTACAGCAGCTTGAACTGAGCAAAGAGCCAAACAAATTATGTCACTAACTCTGACAGTGTACCTTTTTCTATATGTAGATAGTCCACATATAAGTGTAAGGGTAAACCACTTAAATCAATACATCTTTCAACTAAGGAGCAGGTATTTCACAGCAACCCCAAGAGAAAGGTACTATTACGCATATCTACAGTTTACAAAGAAGGAAACTGAGGCCTGGAGAAGTTAAATTATTTTCCAATTCACACAGCAAATAAATTTTAAAGCTAACATGTTGACATTAGAGCCTAGGCTCATAATCTTTTCGCTAGAGGATTCATTTTAGAACCTGGAAGAGATATCACTATTGGAATGGGATGTACTGAAAGAGATAGGAGGATGTTGGGAATGGTGAATAGACACAAGGAAGGAAAATACATGTTTATTGAGTGGATACTAGATATGATGCCAGTTACCCTGCCTATGTTCTCTGGAAAGCAGTCTGCTTTCCATGGAGAGTGCATACTTGCAAAAGTGGACAGTAATGCTGGGTACTTTGGAGTGCCTCTGCTCAGCCTAGCTAGCCAGGATTGGTTTCCCGGCAGAGGAAGTGGTTTGGATGACAGTGTGGATGACCTAAAGTGGTGCTTCTCAAACTTTAATGTGAATGTGAATCACCTGGGGTCTTCTTCAAGTACAGTTTCTGACTGAATAGGTCTGGGGTGGGACCTGAGACTCTGTATTTCTAACCAGCTGCCAGATGATGCCTGTGCTGCTAGTCCTCTGCCCTGGGTAACAAGGAAAGAATACAGAGAGCAGGTGGTTGTTGTGATGCCTCATGTAGGCATGGGTGACAAGGGAAGAAGTCACAGTGAGAGTGGAGAAGAGATAGAGACCACACTTTAAAGAACTATTAAAATTACCCCCACAGAGGATGTTGATGACATTATAATGGGTAATGTCAGCCTTTGGAAGATGGGTTTCTGATTGTAGGCACTCTTCACCACCATCCTGAATTTCCCTTGTTCAGCTGACCCCGAATGAAGAAGAAGGTTGCTCTTGGGGAATATCAGAATCTTTGTTCCGTTCTGTCTGTAAGGGTATTACAGAACAGCTCTTTTCCAGCATCACTTGGAAGATTTGAAGATGGCCAAAGTGAGGCAGGGAGTCACTATTCAATATAAGCTTACCTGTTGGAAGGCCTGAGAATAAAAATCTTTGTCAAAAACAGGAGCCTTGTCAACCTTTTTAGGTTGGCTTCTCTTATTTCAGTATAGAAAGGTAAATTAACAAGATCAAAGGCCCTAGTTTTTTTGTCCCCACCCTACCCGCTATTTCACTATTAAGACAACAAATGTTTTAGACATTTAAATATTTTCAAACTATTTACAAACACCTTAAGAATGAGGTGAAACAGATGGCAGTGCTCATAGATCGCTATTTGGCCTAACAGTGTCTTGTTTTTTTGTTACTTCCTCAGGAGGAAAGACCCGGATTAAAAATAAATATTTATTGGAGTCTCTGATAATGTGTGATGTTTTAATGTAACTTTATCTGGCAATAGAAGTGGTCGTTGTCATCTGGTGCTCCTGAGGTTGCTGACCTAGAAGTTAGAAATATAGGGCTAAAAAAGGCTCTCACCGTAGTCTCCCACCTTTACTCATTAACTAGTGTTCAGCTATTGAGGGGAAGAAATTGAAAAATCTTCTTAAATACTAAGTAAATTTTTATTTCCCCAAATGAAAATTTTTTCTGTGAGTTCAGTAAGAGACATGTGGAGATGAGGAACTCGCTCTGGGGTCAGGTCTGTAGGCAGTGCTCTTAGGAGGCCAGGATTTGGGTTGTGAGAGCTCTCTCCATGGTGTCTCAAGCAGATGAGAGAAGGATGGAGGCTGCTTTCCTGAAAGAACTTAGCAGCTTTCCTCTTTGTTCTAGTTTTAGCTACATTGGGCTTGCCTAGACTATCAAGAATTCAGCCAACAGTGCCTTTGGTTAGTCCAGTGCTTAGTGAATCTAGCTGGACTAAAGTGGGGGTTGGGGGGAGGGTTATAGAAGATCAGAATAAGGACAGAGATCATCATTATTCACTTATTTATTCTCAGACTTGTTTAGTTAATCATTGCATTTGTGTTTCATTTGTAACTCCTTAAGTAACATCAGCTTGATTTTGTCTCTACAAACTTAGATTTTTTCCACAGCGAATTCTGGAATATAGAAAGGCCGTTAGTCTTTAACCATGAGAACTTCTTTTTTTGTTACATGTATTTATTTACCTATAAAACATCCTAATTTTATGTTTGGAGTGATAAAAGAATAATGTACTTCATATTTGCATAGTATTTGAGAGTTTTAAATGTTCTTTCACATACAGCATCTGTGTGACTATGTGATCCTGTGAGATAGCCTGGATTTTAAAATGTATTACGCCCATTTTACAGGTGAGAAAATAAGACAGTAAGGGTTTTGTGTCTTGAACAAGGTCACATGCCTTGGGATTCAAACCCAAGTCTTTCTCTGCCTAAGCCATTGTAAACTCTTTAGTTAGGTAGATTAGTTCAGCAGGGCAGGAAGGTGAAGAGACCAGTTGCTCTGGTAAAGTCTTTTAATCCTCTTTAGATTTTTATGGTAATATATAGTTGATTTGCATTATTCATGGTAGTTATGTTCTATAATGTCATTATGGACATTGAATTAGCAAATACTGAACTACTGCTCATAGAGGAATTCCAGGGTTAGGTTCCTGTGAGTTTCTGATCATGTTCTTGTCCACCAATCAGAACATGACCTGTTTTTTGTGTGTTTTTGTTGAAAGACCCTTTGTTTGCTGGGCACGGTGGCTCATGCCTGTAATCCTAGCACTTTGGGAGGTGGAAGCAAGAGGATTGCCTGAGCTCATAGGTTCGAGACCAGCCTGGGCAACTTGATGAGACCTTGTCTCTACAATAAATCAAAAAAAAAAAATTTAACTGGGCGTGGTGGCTCATGACTATGGTTCCAGCTACTTGGAAGGCTGAGGTGGAAGGATCTCCAGAGCCCAGCGGGTCAACGCTGCGGTGGCTGTGAACGTGTCATTGCACTCCAGCCTGGGCCACAGAATGAGACTCTGACTCAAAAGAAAAGACCCTTTGTTTAATATATAACTGACTTAGGAACACTGAACTCATAGTCAACCAGCTAAAATCACCGTAAGTCAAACCCAAATAAAGCTTGTCTAACATATATTTTTTCCATGAGGCCCATCATGGCCTTCTTGAACTTAGGAACACTAGACAGTACTTAGGCACTATGCTTGGTGACCGTTTTAAACAGCAAAATAATGAACAAAAGGCACAAAAGCATACTTTTTTTATAATATAAGAACTGAAGCAAGAAGGCAGTGTCACCTTAGTCAACCTCAGCTGAGAATGTGTGCCTCAGGTGACTAAAATTTTTCCCTGCTTTGGATATACATGCTCATTTATGACTATGAAAGCACTGTGAATACTAATTTTGAAGTTACAAATAAATTTAAGTGAGCAGAGAAGTTTTCAAATATATAATCCATGAATAATGAAGATCAACTATATCTAGAGCCTAGTTTCTTATAGATAGCATTTATGAAGCTTAAATGTTCTAGGACACTTAAGGTTGTTGATCTCCGTGTCTAATCATATGGGTGAAGGAGGCTTTCAAAGTAAGTGTCAGAGATTAAAAACACACAGTTCTAGAAGTTTTTTTCCCTCAAATTTTAAAATATGAGGCAATTTTGCTTTGCTATGTTGAATTGTACTCCATGGTTCATCCAGTTTAACATTTCTGACACCAAAGGATAACAACCAAAAAGAATGGGAAGAATTATGCTGCTGTCTCTTTTATTCCTTTCCATTTAGGAAAACAGAGGCAAGAGACCATGTAATGGAAGGAACTCTTCTTTTACATGCTCTATCAGGCATCAACTTCAATCTCTCATCCATTCACTCATTTCTTCATATACTCCCTCATTCAACAGATTTTTCTTTTTGAACACCTGCTATATATTTTAGGTCCTGTGATAGGTCCTGGGGATACAAAGGCAAGTAACTAAAATGTTCATGGAACAGTAAGGAAAACAAGAAAGTAGACAAGCAACTGAAATACAGTGTGACCTGTTTAAATATGGAAGCATAGAGCTTGACAGGACTCCATAGAAAAGACATCTCACCCAATATTAAGGCTTCCTGGAGAAGGAGCTGGGATGTCTATGATGATCCTGAAGGACAAGTAAGAGAAAATGGAGATATGGCCATCACAGGCCATGATAATAGCTTGTGCAAAGCATGGGGGAAGGAAAGTACAGTGTGTTAGTGGATCTGAAGGTATAGCAGATATAGAAGGCAGTGAGACGCTGAGCCTGGCTTCAACAAGCTGCAAGTTTTATTCTGTAGGAAATGGTGAGTCACTGAGTTATTTTAAACTGATAGTGCCTCAATCAAAATTACATGTTAGAAAAAGCACTTTGATTATAAATGGATAATCAATTGGAGAGAGCAAATATCTGCTTTATTTCTCCTTAAATATCCTAGAACACTTAAGGTTTTGGATCTCCCTGCCTAGATCCAAATCATTTGAGTGAAGGAGACTTTCACAGTGAATGTCCTACACTGTGAAGGGTAACATCGCTCTAGAATATTTGTAAAGAAGAGAAAAGGGTTATCTTATAACCACTTTTGAGTCATGAACTGGACAACTGCTTCTCTCTCTGAATTTGGAGTTTCTCCCGCCACTTTTTACTCAAGGCCCACAGTTGGATGTTACTACAGAATTATGCTATGCCAGTTTGATTCACAAGGGTCGTGATGTTGTTTCCTTTGCCACACTATCTGTTACATATCCAGTGGAGTCATTCTCTCTGACTATAAATCTCTTGCTTTGACCCTTTTACTATGGCAACTTCTA